ATTTGAATCTTTAAGGCTAATGAAGCTATCAAAAATATTGGAATAACAAGTACAATATTTCCAAAATTGTAGTAAAAGTATAGGTTTGCATAAAGATTGAAATTATCAAGAAAAAGAGCCTTAACATTCTAGTTAAAGGTGGGGTAGGTAAGTTTGAGAAACCGGCTCGAGATACACTTGTTATATTCCATGGAATGCTCGTAACATCCCGATAGCAATGAATATCTTAAGTGCTTTGACAAAAAATCCATAAAAAAAGGTCATCTGTGGAAGCCGTAGTAGTACTGTAAAAAGCACGACCAATCATTTTAGCCGCTGCTAAAATAACTGGATGTATCTCGTGCCCTCATTGGTCATGTGCGCGTTCGTGTGTGTTGGAGGAGGGGCTCTTTAAGGAAGTGGCCGATTTTTTCAAATTCTAGCGCACTCGAGCTGGTTTCTCCAAAATTACCTACCCCACCTTTAAGTAGAGTAGGCTACTTGGGTAAAAGTCTACCAATAATAATTTTTGGATTCTCAGTTTATTGATCAGGTTATAATGGATAACACATTTTCTTAGACACATTTTCTTGGACTGCATGAATAGACAGGGAGTTTTTCCTCAGCCAGTGGTCATGATACTCAACTTTGACAAATATTCTGCAACCTTAGTGTTACTGTAAACTGTCCTTCTTACAGAAGACATTGACATGAAAACACATTAAAAATGTTGATAGCTGAACTTTGACTACATCAGTATCAGGAAGCTGGTTTTGCACATGCAGGCTCCGTGGTAGACTTTGTTTTTAAGAACATCTGTTTTCCTATCACTTTGCACCTTGAATCAGATTTGTATGCAAATTAAGAATTTGACAAAGGTATACAATTAGCATTTTAATTGTGCTCCCTGGTGGAGATGTAGAAATAAATCATTAGTTCAACTGCAGCAATAGACTAATGTTAAATTAGTGGATACTTCAGTGTGTTCAGGATGGAAGCATTAAGAATGACCAGGAATAATACTAAGTGATGCATGTAAAGCACCTTTCAAGAAGTGATGCTTTTGAATTACTCATTACTAAATACCATTAAATATTACCATATAGTAGTAATAGTTTTGTAGCTCAGGAAGGTCAATATTAACTGAAAATATAGCGATCAAAGTCTAGATTTTCTGCTGAAGAAAAATGAAGCAGAGAACTTTAAGCTGAGAGCCCCCTCTGGTGGTGATCAACATTAATGACAAGGAAACAAAGGTCTGATCTGAACCATTTTTAATAAAATCTTTAAGAAAATTAAGCATGTAAAAAGATTTTAAAAGTATTTCTGTACATTTGACACATTCACACAAGGAAAACAAATTCACATAAAATTCAGACCTGGCCACTTTAGATATTCGGGACCATTTGAAAGCATGCCACAAGTTTTAGATTTGCAGCCAGAGCAGCAGTTCAGATAAGCTATAAAAATAACTATAGACAGTCAAGATTTTAGTCAGCCAACATCCCAAGTAGTGTATTTATGATGTAAAAAAGTGATTAGGGTTGCATTAGAGTATTCATACAGACTGAAACTCATACCGAGTAAATAAGCCTGAGCAGGTCCTTTTCCAAGACTGAACTGCCATTTTGTGTGAGGGCTAGCTTTTAAATTCAAACTTGTAGCATGCTTTAGAAAAAGAGTCAGTTAAAGTATTCACGATTTCAGTTGGTAAAACGTGCCAACCACTGATTTGGTCCTTGGTGTTACAATTGTACATTGTGCCAAAAGTCTTCTCATACGGTGAGCTGCTTTGCAATATCCGTCACCACTGAAGACTTGAGCTGCGCGATGGTGGCAATCCTCATCTGCTTGGAAGTGGAGTACTTTTCTTTAATGGCCTGGAATAAGAGAAAATTATTGGGTTAGAAGTAAATCCAAATTAAGGATTAATCCTTTTCAAGTACACAAANATCCGACTCAACCGTCGCCACCGCCTTCACACATGCGCGACCGCCCTGGCCCGAGATATCGACTACAGCAACTGAGAGAGAGACACATGGCGCACTACACCCTAACCGCTGAAACACTCCCTTACGAAAACACACCTCCTCACTGACAACATCAGTTTATCCAACATCAACAACGGACCTCCTCCACGCTCCATCTGTCCCAAGGCGTCCCCCGAGGGTTTCGGTGCTTGCCCCCGTTCGTCTTCGATCCTTTACATGCTCCCCCGTTGGCAAAGATAATTAGCCTTCTCCACACAGCAAAACACAGCCCATAGTTCTTCTCAAAACTCTCCTCACAAATGAGACGTAAGCGGCCAAAACGAGCATGGACATCCATACCTTCTTTGATATCTCAACAGGGAACACACACCAATCCACGCCCCGGCCTCCCCACCGAAGAAGATTGGAACCCCGCCGCACCTGCCCGAGAGGCAGAGTTCAGAGCGAGGGCCACGGGACGCAGGCGAACACACACAACCCACCTGCTCGACCAAACCAGCTCCTTCAGAAATTTAAACAGAACATTACCATGGCGCGCGAGCAAAACACACTAGCGAGCTCCCACCGCGAACAGGTGCCAAACCGCAGCAACAACTTCACATCAGCGAACAACCCTCCCCCCCATCCCGGTTATTCAAAGACATCCAGAATTTCCACTTCACCATTCCACAGCCACACGCTATCTCCCACCCCTCACATGGCCCGCAACTCGGAGTCATTTTCGAAAGTGCCAGTCTCAAATTGCTCACCCACCTCCCGACTTACTCAAATCATCACCAAGAGAGACCGAAAGGGTTCAATCGCTCACTGCCGGGGCCTGTTATAATCCGCTACCTCGCAACGAGACTATTGCCCAGTCTCCGCCCACTCTCTCCTCCTCTGCTGCTGAAACCCTTGAACATCATTCAGTCACACCACCTCAATTTCACAGGCTACGACGATGACATTGAACTTTATATCTAGCATAAGACCGTCACCCTCCACAACACACTCCACTCTCCACCACGTCTCTTCAGAAATATAAAGCATGGTGCAACAAACTATCTCATGAACAGCTGCCAAACAGACATCCTCACTCGGCCACCATACCCGTATCACGAGACATCAGAATAGTTTCAACTTCACATTCCGCCAGCACACGCGCATGTCCCCCTGACATCCGCAACCTCGGAGTCATATCGAAAGTCCGCTCAAATTCAAACACTGCCATATAAATCACGATCACCAGAACCGCCTTTCTCAAAAACATTGCCGTCTCCGCCACATCTCTCTCTCCTCTGTGCAGAGACCTGCATTCATGCATTCATCCTTCACGACACGACTAAACTGCAATAGGCAGACATCTATGCCTTTCATCCAACCTCCTCATAAAACTCCACATATCCAGAACTCTGCTGGGACCCCTCCTCACCACACGCTCCGAGTGATCAATCAGCCCCTCCCTCTGCACCGTCCACTGCTTCGATGTGCGTCGAGGAGATGCTATTCAAATCTGAGGGTTCATCTCCATCTTACAGGATAGCGCCTCATGAGCAACGAGGACGAAGTTTTCTGCTCTGCTTGACAGCACATACACCACATTTGAATAGCTGTCAGCAGCCCAGGCGTATTCAAGTCACAATGTCCCGCTCAATGTACCGGACATGAACAAACAGATCATCCTGCAGTGGCCTTCCAGATATTTTCGGCATCATAACATGATGCATGTATATTCTGCTAATGTTCGATCTGGGTTCACGCGAGTAGTCGATGAAACTGAGTTGGATCACTATACATAGCAATCATTAGGCTTTTTTTGTCATCAATTTGTGTCTTTAAGGCTAATGGAGCTGTCGGCGTAGTATTGGCATAACAATTCGCATATTCGCAAAATTGCAGGTAAGTAGTGGTTGTGTATAAAGTCGGAATTATCGAGAAATAGAGACTTATCTTTCTAGTATACGATTGGTAAGGCTAAGCATTGAGAACCGGCTCGTGATACACTTGTATGATCCTAATGCTCGGAACGTCCGTATAGCAATGAATATGTGCAAGTCCGCTTACAAAGAGTCCCATAAAAGAGATCATCTCTCGGAACCTAGAGCTCTGGTAAAGAAGCATCCGACCAATCATATCACGCTGCAAAAATATTGGATGTACCTCTGTCAGCCTTCTTGGTCATGTGCGCGTTCGTTTGTGTTGGAGGAGGGGCATCTTTGAAGGAGGGGGGCAGATTTCGCTGCGCCTTTTCAAATTCTAGCGCACTTCGAGCTAGTTTCTCCATTTTACCTACCCACCTTTGAGTACAGTAAGGCTTACTTGGGGTAAAAGTCTACCAATTACATTTTTTATTACAGATAACATAAATGTTGATTGCCTGAACTTTAACTACATCATCTTCACAGCTGGTTTGTGCACATGGCAGGCTCCGTGGTAGACTTTGTTTTTAAGAAACCATCTGTTTTCCTATAAACATTGCCACCTTATTTCAGTGTGATAAACATGGTAGAGAGCTGACATGGACATTAACAACTTGAACAGTGTTTTATTTTGGGAACAGATTTGTATGTAAATCAGGAATTTGACCACGGTATTTGCTTTAATTGTGGCCTCCCTGGTGCCTTTG